ATGTAAGGAAAGCACTGGATGATTTGCAAAAAGTCATGAAGAATTTTGAATCACGAGTTGAATTCACAGAAGATTTGCAGAAAATGAGTGATGTAAGTGTCGTCTTTGTGCCAACCTAATTCTGTAATATTTTTTAAAACCTGGGAAAAGATATATTATTTATTCTAAAAATGTCTGGGCTGCTAATAAGCATAAACCAGTGCATTTAATAATCCTAACTTCCCATCTTTCTAATTAGGCTGCAGGTGATTTTGTTGACATAAGAGAAGAAATTGAAGATGATAGCATTGAAACAAAAGGTAAATGATTTTGTAATACACATATGTCTTGAAATACTAGTAAGCATAATACTCCTTATGTGGAATAGACTAAATTATTTCACTGTATCTTTTATGTTAAAAAAATTGCTTTATCCAAATTAAAAATTACTAACCCGAAGGTAAGAAGGATTTTATCCCTCTGTTTCACTATGGGATGTTCTGATATCCCTTGGTAGCCATCAGCTAAACATATTTGGGGGATTTTTTACTTTGAAGAGTCTGCACTGGGAGTTTAAAGTTTTCTAGAAGAAAAGAGGCAGAAAATAAAATATGCTGGCTCCTGGAGAGAGGACTAGAGAAGAATTTTTTTTGCATCAAAGTGTGTGTTTTACAACAGAAGCAATACTATAGAACCTCGGGCTCTGCCTGTGACGGTGGAAGTGTGTGAGCAGTGCCAGCAGGGAGGGGAAGAAGCACGGGCAGGGACGAGACATTAACGGGCAATGTAAATGTTGTCATCCACTGGGGCGTTTCACTACTGTTGGGGAAACAAATGTGAATTCCAGTGTGCAGGTCTTGCAGATGTACTGAAGCGGATACTTCCTGAAGATTTCTCGAGAGGACTCTGGGAAACAAGGGTAGTTGCGCTAAGGAATCAGATAGTTTCTGTGCTAGCTGAAGTGGTGCTTGGTTGGTAAGACTTGGGCAAAGTTGGAGGAAGAAGTAATTTTACAGTCTGAAAATAGCATCACTTGGACATTTTGAGAAGAGGTGGTAGGTTGTGATTTGCAGGGGGCTAAGCTGAGCAGTTCACTGTTACATTTTTCTGGAATAAATCACAATATCCTGTATATGCCAAGGCTGACTAAGGGACATCTCTGCTATGGGTAGATGTTGTTGCAAAATAGGAGGAGAAATGCTCTGGGAAGTGCATCTCATTGTAACAGCGTGAATACAGCAGCATGCTGCGGATGCCAGGTCAACCTTTGTGCAGCTTTTTATTGTACCCTAAAGTTTCGTCATCGTTATTGTCATCTGAAATCATCTTCATTTTTGCTGAAAGTCTGAAAGTGGGTATTACATACATTTTCTATCAGTGGCGATCTGTACTGAGATGGGGAGAGAAGTAGCTAAAAGAACAACTTAGTGATTCTTTTGAGGCAGGCTGGGCTTCATCAGCCTAGGAATTGGTTTTGTTCACATGGAAATGTGCTGTATCTCTGAGGAAGACGGAAAACCAAGTGTCCTGAGCATCTCATTGGTTTATTGCTCACTCTCCATTTTTCTGGATTTTAATATTTCACTTTTTTTGGTTAGTATATGACATTAATGGTGATGCTTTGAAGTAACAGTGAGTGAGCACAGTGGATATTGGAGCAGCAAGTGCTTATCCTCGGCTGTCTTTGAGATCTGACCTGGTTTCCTAACTGACAGAAGTTTTGTGAGAATTAGGGGGGAAAGCCACTGGCGTGTTGAAGCACCGGCAGTAAGGAAGCCCTGTGCTTGCCTTAGTAGTCAAGTCAGTGGTTAATACTGAAGGGTAACAGAGGGAAATTGGGAGGGCACAATCTGAAAATCAAATTGAAATAGATTGTTAACTAATCCTTCCAAATTTTATTTATTAATTTTGTAATTACACCAAATGAAATCCTCACAAGCGGCTCTGATTGCTTGGCTTACCTCAATTTATATTCAAATCTCAATAAAATACATTTCAGCCCTTTCTTAATGAGATGATGAAAAATGCTATCCCGTGGAAGAGTAGGGAACGCACATTCCAACGTTACTTCCAGTCACCTGTTTGCTTTTTAATGTTGCTATTGAATTTGTGTTTAACTCGGGATTAAAGTATAAGCTGACATATTTGAATAAGGATATCTTTAAGCCATGAGTTCTTAAAATTTAAAAAAAAAATGGCCACACAATTAGTTAATAGAAGGAGATTTTAAAACTTGAAGGATGCTGAGTAATGAAGACATTGTATTACTGTTGATTAGATGCACAGGGCAGAGTTGCCTGAAGACCTGTAGAGATACTGGAGTGCCACTGTACAGACAAATCGTTGGGTGTATGTGTGCAGTGGTGGAAGGGGAAGGGTCCTCATTCCTGTGAAGAGGTGCAGGTGCTGCCTGGGGGGAGCTGACGGGCAGAGAGCAGGGAGCTTCCCTTGGGAACCTGCCCGGGAGCTGCCACCTCAGGGCAAAGGGGGATTAAAGCAGCAGTCCTGCCCTTCACACGGACAGAGCCAAAGCATTAGTATTGTTGGCAGGCGGTTTGTTCCCTATGTGCTAGACAGCACTCAAACAGTAAAAAGTATTCCCCATCCTCAATGAACGCACCGTTTTACTAGGTAGCAAAGCTTTTAAATGCCAGCAAGATCTTGTCGGTGACTACCATTTACTGACAAGTGTGTATCTCAGGTCACCTCTGAAGCTTTAAAGGGGTTTATATTTGTTATTTTTGAAAGGCAGGTTGTATGCTTTTCAGAGTGGGTCTTTTTCACCAAAATAAGTGATTCATAATGTCTGGATTTTGGTCAGATTTTCCAAATGACTCTGGAGATCGTTTTTAATGCTCTTCATTGTGAATTAAAAAAAAGACAACCCAAACCAAAAAGACTCTGCTCTTTAAATATAGGTGACTTTGTCCAAAATGACCTAAAGTACAAACTAGGTTTGCTTTCCCAGTTAATAAAATGTGCTATTAATGGGACAGTGAGCAAATGTCACATTCACGTGTTGGTGTCTATCAGAGCAAATCAAAGTTTACTGTTTGGCACAAGAGGTAAAAAACCCCACATTGTAATAAAACTGTCATAGGCTCAGTGTCTCCTGCTTTGTAAATAAACATCTCTGCTTTGCCTTGGTATTTCTGTAACATCCGGAGACTATTATCCTGTGCTGGTGCTCTGGTTCATTGACAGTTTCACTTAAACAGTTAAACAATAATTTGAAATGGAAAATGGTCTGCCCGTATTCCTTAATTCCTCTGTGGGGCTTTTTTTCCCCAATGGTGGTTTTTTTTTTTAATGTCAACTGCTTTAGTAATTGCATCTTATTTTTTGTTACACAGGAAAATACCGCACTGCTCACAAACCTCATTCAAAGCCAAAAGTATCAAACGTTTTTGAGGTAGATTTTCCAGCAAATGGAAGTGATACAAAATCAATGGGCCGTTTTCAGTCAGAGGAGGAACTGTGGGCCCGCTTGGAAGAGCTTGAGAGACAAGAAGAGATACTTGGTGAACTCGACAGGTACAGTACTGCTGTGGCACAGTCAGGTTGGGAGTTCAGAAGGCCATAGGTGTGTGATCCTGTTTGTACACAAAGGATCTCACCGTAAGCACAAACAGCTGACAAGACTGACGCAGTTGAAATTATAATAGGTGGAAGAAGGGTGGAATGTGAATAAAGCATGCACTGCAAGGCCAGAGGTGCTAAAATCTGCCTCTGTGCAACCGTGGCAGTCCAGCACTATAGTATTTTTTTCTTTAAGATGATAGAAAAGGGGAGAAGTAAAATCCATTTCCCACAGGCTAGGAAAATCCATCGTTACACATTTAGTGTTTAATGACATCCTTGGATCTATTCTGATCCTAAAGCACCACATATGTTATTAGCCAGAATGTCACAGTTTTGGTATTTCCAGTTGACATAAAAAGGACATAGTCATTCTTACAGAGTATAAAAAAGGTTTCACAGTCTGGTTAAAATATAGTACCGGGGTAAAGAAAATTATGTACAGGCTTGTTTGTTATTTTGTGTGCCTGTGTCTCTTGTCAAGAGTATGAATCGCCTCAGCTCACTTAGATATTTTTCATTTCATAGGATGCCTGATACAGTTGAGACAAATGGAGAAGATACAACCTCCTCTGAAGAGGAGAAGGAAGATAAGAGGACGGATCTGAACGGGACGTATAGAGCAGAAGACTCTATTACTCAGGGCAACTTCCATAAAGAAGTAACAAATTCAGACTTCTTTGGTGGCCAAGTTAATGGCTCTACTTATTATCACAGTGATGATGAAGATGACATAGATGTTGGAGATAACTCTGTTCCAACTATTTTTTTCTCTCACACTGTTGAACCTAAAAGGGTTTGTACTTCATTATTTTTGTTTTTCTCTCAAGAGATTGCATAGAACATATCTAAAATAGAAAATTTTAGATAATACAGAATGCTAACTGTAGGTGGCATTTATTTGGATTTTTTTCCGGATATTTGAAGCCCACTCTTTAAATCCTGAAGTTTCAAATATGGTATTAAAAAATGACCTTCGAATGCATACCTTGCTATTCTGGCTTCAGGCTGTTGTAAAATATAGTATTCTGTCTATACTTTTAAAATGTTTTTAAAATTACTTTTTACTTTACTTGAAATTGACTGTTGAACAGCTCAGCTGTTGAGCAGAGTTTGAATAAGCAGACTGTCATATATTATATGCAAAATCTATGCACATCAGTGCAAAGAAATGCCCCAGCCTAGTGCAAGTAGTAAAGAATAAACAGTTCACTATGAATGTTACCATTCATACATTTGTTTAACTTATCTATGCTTCGTAGTCCCCAACTGCTTGGATAGGAGAGTGTCAGAAGCCAGTTGATCTGCAGCCTGGTGATTGTTGATTTTATGGTCTAGACCATCATTTGTGTTCAATTTTCAGGTAAGAATAAACACAGGAAAAAATACTACTTTGAAATTCAGTGAAAAGAAAGAAGAGGCCAAGCGTAAAAGGAAGAACAGCAATGGCAACGGCCATGCAACTCCAGAACTGCCTAACATCAAAACCCCAGCAGACATTTACCGGTGTGTAATTTATAGCGTTGGCATGTGAGCTTTCCCCTTAGCAGACCTTCTCTTTTAATTTCTGTTCACCTATAGTATGAACCTGAGCCTGCTTCCCTGAAAGAAACAGCTGGAACTGAATTTACTACTTAAAAATGAAAGTTTGTGGTGTTTGCGTGATTGCCGTGCTTTCATATCCATAAAACATGTCTGAGCTTAAAATTTCCTTTTCCAACTAGCAATGCATCAATTACTTACTTTTTCAGAGCTTCTGAAATAGAGGTAAATTTGCCAGTACATATCACCTGCTTAGAGGAATACAGCAGTCTGTTATGTGTTCCGGTTAATTCCATGTCATTTGCTTTGTGTTTGTTTTCAGACGTAACTGACCAGAACTTGTAATACTCCTCCTTTCCCACTTACTAATTGCTGGCTTTTGTCTCTTCTTTCCGGTATCTTCAGAATATACTCGGGTCTTTGTTTGCATAGTTTCTCTTGCATTCCCTCTCCCTGACTTTAGTCCATCACTGTTTCTATTCTCCGTAAAAAGAAGTGCTCGCCTGTAAAACACCTGCAGTCAGAGAGCTTGGAAAACAGTATTGGGTTTAGGGCAGTGTATGAAATACTAAACTAAGGTGATGGGAGAGTTAAAACAAGTATTTAGGTTTGTAAAGATGAACACAGACACCTGTTAGATTGGTTGATTAAGTGCTTGTGAAAATCACACTGCATTTGTACGTCGCTGTATTCAAGCACCTAAATATCTTAAAAAACGTGTCACACTGTGAAAAGTTAAAACCCGTCCTGTAATTACAGTTGCTGGGGCTGAAGAATGAGGTAAAGGATTCTTTCATGGTGCTCTTCCTGAGCTCTGCAAAGGAACTCCATCTTCTGTAGAGATATACAAGTGTTCCCTTGAGTGCCTGATGAATAAAGCTGTTAAGAAACAAGTAACACCCTTAAAACTCATCCAGTCATTGGGCTCCTCCTTTATGAGTTTGATAAAATTGGCACTGTCGTCTAATGCCACTCTTTCTCCTCCACCCACCCTTGACTTCTTTAAGTCATGGAGATGGCGTACAAACTTTAGGAAGAGGCCTCTTTATCAGTTTACAGTCTGTTAATACTCGAAAAGTATCTTCATGTTGATCTGATCTTAAAAGCTCATTTTTAAATTTTTTTTTTTTTAAACGAAAGCAGAGGATTATGGCACTTGTTAGGAAAAAGCTTCATCCTTTCCATGTGCAATGAACATTTCAAGTATTTGTTTTCATATTCTACATTTGACAAGGACTTCATCCTAGAAAACCTTCCGTCATTGTGATCTTCTCTTTCTCTTTACAGAAACAACCCTGACAATCATTTAGTTCACCTTTTTTCTAACTTCTGGTAACTCACACTATTCTGTTTCCTAAGACTTTTCAGAGCTATACATTC